ACTCGAATTTAAAAATTTAGCAACGTTCATATGCGTCCCGATCTGGAGTTGGATCAATTCTATGATTTAGTGTTGAAAGAGGAGCATTTACAGAGGAGACTTAATCTTACCATCGCATCTGGAGTTTCCATGGTTGCTGATCGGAGACCCACTGATAGGAATCAAAATTCCTTTTTCCATCACAGTGGCGTCACAGTGGCGGCGGCAGGGGATATAGCAGAGGCAACCGAGACCGTGGACATCGATACTCCTTTTCCGGTTACCGTTCACCGGTGTAGAATCGGGTCCGCCATCCTCACGATCAGTCACCACCATCTCTCTTTGACGGACGTCCTCCTCTCCTTCCCACACCTACAACAGCTCCTCCACGCAAGAACAAAATTTGTTTCAGTTGTGACAAATTGGGTTACATAGCCCGTTATTTCCCAAAATGTGGGCCTCAGGCATTTGTGGCCCAAAATGTTTCCTCATCCACACAACCCAAAACTCCACTTGGCACTTTGATTCCGGGTCAACCCATGATACCCAATCCAGATAGTATTTCGAACTCTCACCCTTATACAGGTACGGACACTATGGTTGTTGGTAATGGGAACGAACTAAAAATTACTCATACTGGGAATGCAAAACTAACTGGACCCCAAAAATTACATCTTAATGAGGTTTTGTGTGTTCCTGCTGCTATTCAATTTTTTTTTAATATCCATTCGTCATCTTTGTCGTGATAATGCCTGCTTTTTTGAATTTAACACTAATGGATTTCGTGTAAAGGACAATAAGACGGGGATTATCCATCTCACTAGGAATAGCTCGGATGTACTCTATCATATTCAATCGCCTCTATCCACCACCAATTGGATGGCTTTCTATGGTTCTCGTACAACTCCAGATGTTTGGCATACTCGCCTTGATCACCCTGCACAATCTATCTTTAATATTCTGTTATATACATGCAATTTTCCTGTTCATGGTGAAATTAATTCTATTAAGAATTGTCATATTTATCCGTTGGGTAAATCTCTTTGACATCCTTTTTCAGTATCGTAATTTCCATGCACAATCTCCATTGGATTTGTTGCACCTTGATTTATGGGGTCTCTCACATATTCTGTCAAATCACGAATTTCACTATTATTTATCTATTGTTGATGATCACACCCGATTCACTTGGCTTTATCCGTTGGGATAATAATCTGAGGCCCTCTTCACTTTCATTACATTTACTAAAATGGTTGAAAATCGATTTAAATCCACTGTTATACAAATTCAAATCGATGGTGGCGGTGAATTCACTAGCAATCCTTTCATTTCATTTCTTCGTGAACATGGGATTTCTCACCAAATTTCTTGCCCGTACACTCCTCAAAAAATGGAGTGGTAAAACAGAAACACCGTCAAATTGTGAGTGTGGGCCTTTGTCTCTTAGCCCATTCTCACCTTCCATTCAGATTTTGGGTTGAAGCTTTCTCTACTGCAGTATTCCTAATTAATCGATTGCTGACACCTATTCTCGGCTCCAAGTCTACCTTTGAACGACTTTTCTATTGAGTCCTCGATTATACTATGCTTAAGAGTTTCAGGCGTGCTTCTTTTCCTCATTTGGTATCATACAACAAACATAAACTTACTTTCAAATCCACAACATGCATGTTTCTTGGATATGTGACTCACTACAAGGGGTATTGTTGCCTTGATATTACAAATGATATAGTCTATATTTCACGGAATATTATTTTTGATGAAACAACCTTTCCATATGCTACAAACTCACCTCCAAGCACAATATCCCTGCCAATTGGGCCTTTATCTCCCATCGCATTGATTGAGAATTTAATTGACCTTAATTATATTCATCTCCCAACCACTAGCCCATCCAAAATTTAGCATTTTTCCTCGGGAAAAATTCATAGGTCAGGAATTATCTTTCACGAAATCAAAAATCAGACCCCAAGGTTTAAATTTACAAAACTCAGGTTTTTCATGAATTAATTAATTATATTTTACAATTAATATATTAAATTAAATATTTAACTATAATATAATATAATTGACCAACCCCACTCTACCCCACCTCCACCTCCACCACCTCCACTGCTCCGGCGACCGACTACTACTCCGGTAACTGTTTTCCGGTGGTGCTTAATTCCGATGACCATTTTTCAGTGAATGTTGGCCACCGTTTAAATTCGGTAACTGCTCCGATTCCAAGGTCACAAATATCTTATTAAATAGTTAAAAATTTAATTTCGATCACAACTTATCAAATTCATTGATCACAGATTATTTTGAGGTCACAAATTTTTTTTTTATAAGTCACAATTTTCAAATTTGTAGGTCACAAATTCCTTTTTTAGTTACAAATTCAATAGAAAAAATCACTACAGTTCAATAGCTAGGTCACAGACACAAAAAAAAAACAACTACAATTCAATAGTTAAGTCACAGATACTAGAAAAAAACTACCGTAGTTCAATAGCTAGGTCATAGACACCAAAAA